GCCGCGCGCTGCGTCACTAAAAAAAAGTGGACCAAAAAAAGTCTTCCGCGCGGTCAAAATTCTCGGTACTCCAGACCCACCTACCGCGCTATCACTCCGCCTAACGCTGCGCTAATTCGCAGTTTCACTCTGCCTAAGGCTGTGTGTGCTGCGCTAATTTAGTAATTTCACAGTGCGCAGTTTTTTTTCTTTTTTTTTTCCGTAAACCCAGGAGTGTTATAGAGATCAGATGCCTGGCCTAACAGTACAGCCTTTCAATCGCCATCCATTCTGATTGCCCAGACGACAGGATCCAACCCATCCTAGAGTACCATTTCTTTTCTATTGTAGTACCATCGCGAGCCGACCCTACGGGTATACAACCTTTTTACGGGTTAGTATGCATGCTTTTTCTTCCTAGTGAGACACCTAACACTAGACTGCCCCCCAGGTGCATTTCTCTCATAGGTAACCCCGAACTATTCGGGGCCGACTAGTCCACAGACAAGCTGCTTCCCACCTGGTAGACTCTATGGAGATTCCCCTCCTTCTACCAGATGCGATGTTCCCTCCCATCCCCCCCTAATATGCATGGCACCTTCCCCTTATCCCATATCTCCGTCCAGGCTTCCGTCATGGAGGCCATTTCACGGGTTATCTGTCGCTTTTCAGCGCTGTCCTGAGGTTTCGTGAGTATATTATCGTGAGGCCCGCCCCAGGGAATCCTAAGTACCAGGCATCCTCCCTCTATAGCTCCACTAACTACACACTCGAGCCCCCTTGGTTATCCATAGGTAGGCCTCAGGGCCAGGCCTACTCAGATTGTGTGCAAGACCTATGCAATGACTTGCTGGTTCCAGGTTGCCTGTAGCCTACACTCTGACGAGGTTGTACCATGGTTAAGGACAGATTTGTAATTTTGTTTGGCTGAGGACTAACCGAGAGACCTGCCTGTATGGCAAATTTGTGAGGGACATATCCGTAAATATAGAAATATGGGCCCAGTATTGACTTACCGTGAGGGCACGGGTGCGCAGCCCATAGTTCGTTTGTTGATGTGGTTCGAGAAGGGTATGGTAGTGATTATGTTGTATGGATGTTCTGTTGTGTTCGCTATACACAACTCGAAGAGAGTGTGTGTAGGGTACGTGTGTGTGTGTGTGCTTGTGTGTGTGTGTGTGTGTGTGTGTGTGTGTGTGTGTGTGTGAGAGAGAGAGAGAAAGAGACAAAGAGAGAGAGAGAG